CGCAGCCTCCTTTAGCCTTATGTTGTTGGTTCGACCTCGTTTTTTGCAATTTGGTCGGACCGTCAGGGGGGCCTTCTAGATCATACCAAGTCCCGTGTTCTCTGATATAATATTCGTGAATTCCAGCATTGGACTATTGGCTGGGTACATTGTCATACGTTTCATCGACATCGCCAATGAAATGCGCCATCGTAAGCACAGAATTTCAATGGTGATGAAGAATAATAGCAAGGTTAATTTAAGAGAAAATGAAAAACCTATAAATGATAGTAAAAATACTTAACACCTTAGTGAATGAATGTCTCTTTGAATTTCAAAGGAAGCCATTCAAGAACAAAAGCATACAGGTGCAGGGCCTATATTAAATTACATAACAGAGTTAGGGCTAAAGACAATAGGAGAACCCTAAACTACAGAACAAAGATATAGATTCGTAAGGATTAAATAAAACACAATTATAATACTCTAAACATACCTGCATTGAGAGACGAGCACATTCAGCCACCTTATCTTCATGTTGTCGCTGCAGACGTTCGAGTTCGCCCAAACGATTAGTTGCCAAGTCGCGCATTTCCTCTAGTTCACATGCCATCTCATTATACTTACTGCGACCAATAAGTCCGGCAGGAGAAACTGTATCTTCAGTTCCTGGTGGGTAAAATTACACGACAGGATGGACAAATATGAAAATACTATTTATCATTTACAATCTTTAATTAAGTTAAAATTTAATTGGGTAATCGCCTAATATAGTTAAATTGCAGTCATAAAAAGGTTATGAAAATAACCTTGAAGATAGGTTAATGCAAGCATCATATAAGAGACCAGCATCGGCGAAAATAAATCAATTGTATGCTGATCAATAGCATAAAGTTCAATTAATTATTAAATAATAGTGACCAAAGAATAGTTATACAAGATTAAAACCTATCCAGTTATTTAATGTAAAGATTAACTTGGCAAACAATAAGTATTTCGATGACAATCCAAACGTAAGGCTTCCAACAATATAAATCATTCACAATTTGCTAAGCAAGAAAAGTGAACATTCTTAAGCTAAGGGCGCCATGTAAAAATAATAAATGGCTACCACAGAAAGAACCAAAGCTGACAAATAAATTACGTAATAGGTTAACGAACGAAAAGTGACTAAATAAAGGCATAGTGGATGCTATTAATTCCAAAGCTGAAAAATTACTAAAGGTGAATTACGATATCTGATAGATTCCATTTTAAAAAGACTGGAAGCGAATTCACGGACAATCTTCATACAAATTGCTTTTATAAATACAACTCGAAGATTCAAAATATGTAAATGCTCACCAGGTGAGGCGGAAGAAATGCCTTTGAGGGCAGCAAGCTCTTCTTCTAACTGCTTTTTTGCCATTAATGTGTCCGCTAGTCGATGGTCCAATCTGGTTACTTGACTGTTTGCCTGAATCAATTTATATTCCACATCATCAAATTTAGCATGCCATTCAGCTGCGGCATCGCAATGTGTTTGGAATACGTCTTGTAGTTCTCGAACCTATGTGAAAAGTAAAATTATTTAACAGATATGCATTAGTAGGAAATTTAATTTTAAAATAAGAATATTGAAAACAAAAAAATTGAGTATGATATAACTTGGTGAAGGATTAACAAAAGAAATGTAATATTATATTACAACTTCTATGAATTGGTAAAATAAGTGTCGACGACTTCCCCTAAAGATAAATGCATTTCGTTTTCATCAAGAGGGAAAATATATTCACCAATGCTATAATGGCCCCAATAAAGCATGTGCTGAAGTAACCCTCGAGAAGCTACCCATCAGTTTCGTTGAAGAGCAAGTATGTGACATCGTTCTAATAATTATTGAAGAATAACCGGATAGTTAGTTGCTAATGATATGAAATTAAGACGTTTGTATGTGTAATAGATTAAATACAATAGTGAAAGTGACAAATAATTAGAGCGATAAACATGTATTAGAGATGATTGAAAAATTAAAGGCATCTACATTAGCGAAACACATCGGTGCAATTGTGTAATAAGAAAGATAAATTTGTCTGAATTGATCACTTAAAGGACTACATGCTTTCGAATGCCGAAATCAAACAATAGCATGAATAATTGAATTTCCCATTTGCAAATAACATATTTTCTTATATTTCCCAAAGCCTATTAGGTTAGGACAAATAAGTGACGATTCACTACACACCTTCCTTTCTGAAATGCAAAATATATTTTGAATTAAAGGTATGAAGACCAAGATAGTGTAATCTTTTGTATGGCCACAGTCTCCTTTCGTTAGATAGAAATTGTACCACGTATGTACCATGTCCACGATCCGAATCTGGAAATTATCGTGGATACTATGGACTCCGAACTAGGTGCGTTCCTCCAGGTCTTGCTACCAATATGACCAAGCGGCGATAACAAGGTAAAACAACTTCGATATTTTGAAAGTTGGATGGTATATACGTGTTATCAAAGGT